ATAACCGTTTTTTACAATTTTGACAAACGTTTATTCTGAATTTTCCTGATTGCGTTACGTCACACCTGATCTTTAAATTTTGATTGGCTTTTATGGGATGCAGCAATAGTACAGTCCCGGATATTACCAAAATGGGGAACGTCTAAAGCAGGGACGCCGAAAATTATGGATCCATAATTTTTGGGGAAAATCCATAATTTTGGGAGTTATCCATAAAAAACCAAAATTTTAGAAATTTTTATGCACGATTTTAGCGATTTGATTGGTTACAGATCACGTTGATCAAACAAGAAACAAACTATTTTCTAGAGTGAACGAAGAATTGGTAGCACAACAAGAATTCACCAATTCTTGGTGCGTGTAATTAGATCTTTTGGGAATTTTAATTCGTTGATTATATAATTACTATTAATTTTATTTTTCATTCTTTCAGTAGAGGAATTGAACAAATTTTGACTTCTATACTTTATAAAGACTCCAAGACTTCTGAGATTTTATTTACGCCTAGGGTATCTACATAATCTTTGTCTTGTGCTACATTTGGCCCGCAATATTTTCCTTTTTTGTAAATAATAATATTTTTTTTTAGGAAATTTCGGATCTTCAATTTTCTTTAATTTCAATAACCAATCGTCTGCAACCCCAAATAAATCAAATTTCTCGGATTTTATGAAACTGTACGGTGTAAAGGGTTGCTTATCGCAAATTATAAGGAACTTAATAAAATGTTTTTACATTATATTATAAAAATATAATACAATTGGCTTTTCAGTTTTTTTCAGTTATGGGAATCACGTATTTGTATACCCTCGATTTTGATATTCATATCCTGCAAATTAGAACTTTTTTAAACTTTGTGCAAAGATGTCTTAGCAACTACTCAGGAACCGTACAACTAATCCAACAGGTGAAGGATTATATCTATAACATTGACAGTAGAGTGATCCAATATTGTAAAATAATTTTTTTTATGAACCGCGCACCGAGTGAGGATTAGTTGTGCAACATGGTTGCAAGCAACCACTAGGTTAAATTCGATGAACTTTTTTTGCTTGAATTCTATGAATTTATAAAAATTCAAATCAACAAAAAATTCATTGAATTTATCTTGGTTGTTGTTCAGATATCTGCTTAAAATTCTAAAAAAAAAAAAAATTCAAAACTTTTATTAAAAGCTGTATCGAAATTTTGAGTGATAATATCTCAGTAACCACCAATTCTATATATAAACCTTTATAAATCCATAAAATTCAAATAAAAAGTTCATCGAATTTAACCTGATGGTTTCGAGATCAAAGTTAAAAAAATTTTGAACGTTTTGAATTTTATTAAAACTAAGATATTTAAGCAACCAGGTTAAATTTGATTCTATTAGGTAATCTATAGAATTCAAATAAAAAAAGTTCATCGAATTTGACTTAATTGTTGCTGAGATATCTTCGACCAATGTAAACAAAATTCGGTATTAGGATAAAATATTGGTCCGGTTAATGAATTGTGCAAGTATTAATAACCGGTAGGATTAAAAAAGTTACACATTCTCATTTTTGAAAAAAATGTCAACGCCAGTTCAGCGAAAAAAAAGTTAATGACTCCTCAGTATCTTTTACAGATACTTCATATAATAATCAAAAAAAATCCCGTAAATCATCCACTTTAATTAAACCAATTTTGCAAGGAGTTGTACTTTTTATAATTGCATTTTTTTTGACTAGTTATTTAATTACCGAGACTTGGACTTGGGGATATCAAAATAAATACACAAATTGGAGGAATTGGATTCCAGTATTTATTAACATACTTTTTTCGAGCTTAGTTGCGAAAAACTTTTAATCTTAATTCTTCCTGAAATAGCGTAGGGAAATTATATTTACTGAAGAAGAGCTAGCTAAATATGATGGATCAGATCCAAATTTACCAATTTACATTGCCTTGAAGTAAGAAACTTTACATTATTTTATACTTGAAGATTAACGATTATATTTTTCACATGTTACATTGAATCTTTTAGTGGAGAAGTATTTGATGTGACTAGCGGAAAACATTATTATGGAAAGGTAAAAGAAAAAAATCGATCAAATAATTAATCCTTGATTTTAACAAGTGATTATGGATTTTATATTATTGATTAAAATGAATGTTTATAATATAGGGTGGTGGTTATAGTTTTTTTGCCGGAAAAGATGCTTCTCGAGCATACGTAACTGGATGCTTCCAAACTCATCTGACTCATGATCTGCGTGGTTTAACACCTGCACAGATCAAGGTATTGTAGCTTGCAATGCTAGTTTTTTTTTTTTTTTTTTTTTTGCATAAAATTTTATTATTTATTTTTTAAATTCTTTGCAGGATATTGAAAATTGGGCTTCTTTTTATCGTGATCATCATTCTTATTTTAAAGTTGGAATTGTTGTGCATCCACCTATAGATCCGAATTCACCTATCCCAGCACCGTGTGATGGTGCTTCATCCCCGAAGACGTAATTTAATTATATGATTGAGTGTGTAATTTCTTTATATTTGCATCATGTAGTATTTTTGATTCATGTTTTATTTTCAATCTTAATTTATTGAAATCATGAAGAGTAATAAATTTTACCATTTTATTAAGTAGGATTTTGTTTTTTTTTCTTTTCATTAAATTTTTAATTTCTATAATTATAATGATTTTTCCATAACGAAAAATATATATATATATAATAGAGAAAAAAGGTGTCTAAATTCTTATTGGGAATGTTTTTTCTCAAATTCCATCATATATTCGATTAAAAAATCAACACCTTCCAAAGTCATAGCGTTGTAAATACTAGCTCTGATTCCTCCGACACTTCTATGCCCTTTTAATTGTAACATTCCTAACTCGATAGCTCCTTTCAAAAACTCGCTTTCTAATTCTTCTCGTTGAATTCTGAAAGGTACATTCATTCTTGATCTTACACTTTTTTCAACGGGTGATTTATAAATTTTCGAATTATCAATTGTTTCATAAAGTTTTTTGGCCTTAATTAAATTAGTTTTTTCAATCGCCTCGACCCCTCCCAACTCTAACATCCATTCAAATACTAAACTTGAAATATATATTGAGAACATTGGTGGAGTATTATAAAGCGAATTATGATCTGCCATTATCTTGTAATCTAACATAGAGGGAATCATAGGAATACCAGAATTCTTGTTATCAAAATTTTTGGATCTTATTAATAAATCATCCCGAACTATAACAACGGTTAAACCAGCTGCCCCAATATTCTTTTGTGCCCCCGCATAAATAACGCCAAATTTTGATACATCAAAACGACGTGAGAGGATGTTTGAAGACATATCACAAACTAATGGTACTGAAGGATCAATTTCTGGTATATGATTAAATTCTACCCCGTTAACTGTTTCATTATCACAATAATAAACGTATGCTGCTTTTGAACCACTAAGTTTCCAATCTTGTTTCGGTGGAATTGATCTATATGACCCATTGAGTTTTTTTTGCATCAAAAACTATGTTAACATTATTGTATAATTTTTTGGCTTCTTCTGCTGCTTTTGATGACCAGGAGCCCGTGATTAAATAATCCAATGGTGGATTGAATTCTTCCTCAAGGTCTTCATCTAATTGATGTCTTTTTGCAGCTAATAAGTTATAAACTATTGCGGCAAATTGAGTATTACCACCACCTTGCATGAACAAAATTTTATAATTATTAGGAATGTTGAGTAAAGTACGTAAATCACGTTGAGTTTTATTATTAAGGTTATCGAATTCCTTGGAGCGGTGCGAAAGTTCCATAATCGACATTCCATTATTGTTGTAATTTAACAATTCGGCCTGTGCTCGTTGTAACACTGAGGTTGGGATTTTTGCGGGACCTGCTCCGAAATTCCAAACATTCGGTGCCTGCATCTTTAACAAATATTTTACGAAATGTAACCACGAAAAAAAAAAAAAATCGATATTTATATAGCGATAGGAGATAGATATCTATTCTGTGATTGCACGTGAAATCTACTAAATGTACTAAATGTAGCCAGGTTATAAGGTTAATGTTATTTTATGTAGATCAATATATGAATCTGCCCCGCAAAATGTGGAGTTCCGGATCATACTTTTTACGTAAAATCTTATACATGAATGTGTGAATAAATGATTATTAAGCAACTATTAAAGGAAGCTCGTCTGTAGAAGAATTGATGGATGTTATATTATTGCGCAAACGACGAGGGAAATCTGTATAACATTTAATAACTATAATATTGGTAATATAATATACTAAATACGTATATGAAATAATTATCAAAAATTTTAGTACGATAACTAGATTAATGATACGTATTGATAGTGAAAAGGATACGTACGTATTAGTAAGCTGATTTTTATTAGTAGGTGGAAGGAAGTATCATTTTTGAATGTTATATTTTTGTTCAACCCATTACAAGTGACTATTAGAAAAACGATGGACGATTATAAAGTCGGATAATTAGTATTGCTTACAATAACTGGCAAAAATAAATTCGCAATAATGCTAAAGAATTATCTTCATTGTATAAGACATTTAGTTATACGTACTAGTATAACAGTCATATGATTTAATGATTATTCCAAAAAAATCCCATAATACGTA